ATAGATTTTGAAAAATCAGTTAAAAAACAGCCAAAACTAAACAACCTTCATATGTCTATTAACATTTATTATGATCATACATGCAAAATTAAAAGTGTAATTACAATTATATTTTCATGTCTTTTAATGTAAAATGGCAAGTTTGTCACTGGTGTCATTACAATTTGAGGCTTTAATTTGGTAGCATACATTTTTAAAATTTATTTAACAACAATGCAAGTAAGATACTATTAGTAAAGAAAATATTTCATGAAAAATAACTATACCATGTGACACCACTGACTGAAGTAAATTTCTTTGAAATGACAGGAAAATATTATATATATATATAATTTCCATATTGAATTTCAATAATGTATTTTGGACTATTATTTGGACTATCATTCATGACATTAATTTTAGTATGTGAACAATATTGTAATATGGCAGAATGAAAGGCGTAGAAAAATGTAAGGCCCGATCTGCATCACCTTCTTGATCTGCAGCAACATGCGCACTAGGTCTCAAGCATGCTGCGCATTAACCTGCACCTGCGTGTTTTTTATTTTGGCATGATGTGTTTTTGTTTACGGCGTACGCAATGCATGCTGGAAAATGCTGCGCATGTGCAGACGTGTGAGGTGCAACTCAGGCAAGTAAAACGGATATGGTAGTAACACACACCCCCACAAAGCCCCGCCCACCACGCCAAGATCTGTCTGCAGAATACTGGGCGACAGCGTTTGAATCCTGGTGCCTGTACTACGAAGCGGGGTTACTGGCTTATCGGGGTAACTTGTCGGATTTAAGGTAGTCTGGGCAAAATGTAAGTGAACGAATATGAAGTCCATTTAAACTGTGGTACCGTAAATCCGACAAGTTACCCCAATAAGCCAGTAACCCTGCTTCGTAGTACAGGCCACTGGCTTCTTATATACAAACCATAATTATTCTCCTTATAAAATTTAATTTTGAATAATGAAGACATCAAATTTAAGGATTAATACTTTTTTTTTTACACAAAATGGTTAACAATGACATTCAGTTTGTCTCCCAGCTGATAGAGAGGGGCATTTGCTCACATAGTCTGAATTTTTAACTAAATTTAATGATCCAGTACCTCCTAGAGAGTACTCTTTTGTTTTTGACACAATTCCTTTAGGTCTTCTTAAACTCATACAAGATTGAAGCACACCTGACAGGATGCCAGCATCTTGAAAAGATGTGACAATAAATTGTATTAACATAAAAGATTAAAAGTGGAATAATAAATACACCAGGATCCTGATGCATAACGTTGCCACATTGTGGTCCGAGTTCATTTGGAATATTGGAAATATCCATTGCAATATAGCCTGGACTTTAAGTAACAAATATACAACAAATTACTAAGAAAGTAAAAGTATTTCTCCCTTATAATTCTTATAATAATAACAATAAGTATACTTTTTAAAAATATATATTGTTTATTAAAAATGGCCTCTCAAATGTTGAAATTTAGTCATAAAATGAGCTATTTTACTGCTGAAGAGCAAACATGATCAAAATTGAAAGAAGAAAAAACAAATCAAGAGGGAAATTTGTATACACTCACCTAAAGGGTTATTAGGAACACCTGTTCAATTTCTCATTAATGCAATTATCTAATCAACCAATCACATGGCAGTTGCTTCAATGCATTTAGGG